ATCTTCAGAGTACCCTGATCTAGGTGATGAGACTCGGAAAAATTCTTATATGCTGGCCTCACAGACGTAGTGCTCAGCTCACATCCTCAAGGCCCTGGGTTTGATTCTCAGCACCACAAACAAAACGACAAACAAACATATTCATGAAAGGTGCATAGTGTGGGGTCTGGCACAGAGAGTCTGCCCCCAAAGTGATAGCTACTGTTGTCAGTGTCATCACTTCTATGACCCCATGTATTTGTCTGGAGCCTGGAGAGGGGAGAGATGCCTTGTCAGAGGTGGGTGTGATGACCCCCCTTTCTGAGGAAGTTTCTTTGAAGAGGGAGGGTTTATCAGGTGAAGGGGAAGAAGGCAGAGTGTCTCAGATAGAAGGCCCAAGGAGAATAAGACATTGAAATGAAGAGATAGTCTGGTATTGCTGAGTGCTGGGGAGGATGAGGGCCAGCCCATGCATAGGGCCGGAGGAAAGCCAGACTGGGAAGGTCTAGGAGACTTCCAGAGGGCCGGCTTGATGAGGCGTTTATAGATCTGTGCAAGGTATTTCTCTGGCTTCACTTACTAAAGACATGTCATGCATTAAAAACTGTGAGATCAGCAATCAAGTTAATTAAAATGACTAACCGCATTAACACTAGTGGCTTTTAAAGCAACAAAGCACTGAGTTAGGTAGGAAGGAGGCATTGCATCTGCAGGGGTGGGGTAGGGAATGGATAAAATGACTTTTAAATTCAGCTCCTCTCTCCTCTTTTGGAGCTTGTTACATTTTTTGGAGACTGGCTCCAACCCTACATCCATGAGAATATATAGGTAACCCCCACCTACCCTCACCTCCACAAAAAAAGAAAAAAAAGAATATAAGTGTGAAAATGACCTGTAATCCTATCTGCTGTCTCCCAGAGATAACCTCTGTTAACATTCAGGACACAACCTTCCAGACCTTTTTCCAATGCATATTTATTTATACATTATAAAAATGGGATCACATCATGCATACTGTTTTGTTACCTATTCCTTACACTCAACAAAATATTGTGAGCATCAGCACATACAGATACGTATCATTGTTTTAAACTGTGGCACCGTATTTTCTTGTGGGCATGACTGTCCCCTCATTTACTGAACTAATCCTCTCTCAATGGACAGTTAGGTTTCCAATTGTTTGCCATCATAAGCAGTGATGTGATAAATATTCCTGTACACATCTCTGCATACTTGAGGGATAAATTTCTAGAAATGGAACTGTTAAGTCAAAATGGCACACTTTCTGAAGGCTTTCAATGCAGGGGAAATAAAGAATTCTTTTGTCAGAAGAAAGTCCATTTCCCACTGTCCTGAATAACCTTGGGTAATAATTGCTCTTCGTTTTGCTAAACTGGTAAAAAATATCTTATTATTTCTATGTTTCTTTCTTTGGTTATAAGTAAGGCTGAGCTTTTTGTCATGTCATTTGTGTTTCTCCCTTAATGAGTTGTCACTTCATTTACTCGGCCTGTCTTTTTTGTTTTGTTTTGTTTTTTTTTTGTAGTACCAGGGATCGAACTCAGGCCCTTATGCTTGCAAAGCAGGCGGAACCACAGCCAAATCCCCAGCTCTACTTGGCCTGTCTTATTAAGTTGTGCAACTTTTTAAAAAATGGGATTATCATCTGAAAAAAAAGATGTCCAATTTACTATTTTTATATTAGAACTCTTTATATATTAGAGATTTCTTTTTTATTTTTATTTATGCTAATTTTAAAAGTCAGTTTTGCAGCCCAGGGATTTAGCTTAGTGGTTCTGCTGCCTGTGTTGCATGCACAAGGACCCGTTTGATCCCCAGTACAAAAAAAAAAAGTCAGTTTTGCTGTGTCATAGATGTGGTAAACATCTTTTCCAGGTTCGTCTTTTCAGTTTGTTATACTGTTTTGTATTGTGTTACACTGATGTTTCAGTTCTTTTTACGACTATATCTATCTTTTCTCTTAGATTTCTGCCTCTGAGGTTATGCTTACGGTGCAGAGTGAGCTTTTAAGGGAATGTTGTTGGAAGATGTCAGTGTGTGAGTGCTGACTCAGAAATCTACAGCTCTAGCCTGCCCCATACTCCTGTGTCCAGCTGCCAATTCAGTGTTCTTACTTGGAAGTTGGTTCATATTTCACACTTGTCATATCCCCTCAGAACTTTGATTTTTGTCGGGCATGGTGGCACATGTCCGTGATTTCAGCTCTTTGGAGACTGAGATTTTGAGACCGAGGCAAGAGAACTGTAGGTTCAGGGGCAGTTTGGGCAAATTAGTATGACTCTGTTGCAAAAAAAAAAAAAAAAAAAAAAAAATGAGGGTTATAGCTCAGCACTCCCTGGGTTTAATGTCCAGTACCCAAAACAAAACAGAACAAAACCCTTGATTTTTATTCTTTTATTTTCCTCCTCAAAAGCTCCTGATTTAGGAAAAGATCCAGCTTTACTCAGTTGCTTGGGCCACAAACTTGAGTTACCTTTCTTTGCTGTGTTTCACTCATATTTTGGAACTAACCTATTGGCAATCAGGTTGGTATTACTTGAAACCCTGAGCTCTTCTCCCCACCTCCTGCCACCCTAGCGAAGGCTACTGGTCACCATTTTGGACTTCTGCAGTGCCCTGCTGCCTTGGTCTCTGCACCCTTCTCCTCCACTTGCACCGCCTGTCTGTTCTTCAACCAGCAACCGCAGTGAGCTACTGAGAACAAATCATGTTGCTCCCCCGTTCAGGATCCTCCCAGAACATCCCAACATACTCACAGATTCCTCACAGCAGGTCCCCTTTTCTTTCTCCAGCCTCATTTTCTCCATGCTCTCTCTTCTCTCTCACTACCTCCCAGCTACCCTGGTCTGCTCAAATGTCAAAGATCCCTTTCCTGACCACATGTGCTAAAATAATCTTCCCTTTTCTTTTTGTCATACTCCTCTACCTTATTTTTTTAAAGAGCACTTGTTCCTGTTTGCCATTCTTACATATATTTCTTATTTGTAGACATAGATCTCTCCTTCCCTGGAATATAAATTTCATGAAGTTAGGGATTTGGGTATTTGGGAAGTGTGTGCTTAATAGCTTTTTTTTGAGACAGGGTTTCACTATTGTAATTCAGGCTGGCCTTGTACTTGAAGCGATCCTCCTGGCTCAGCCTTCTGAATGCTGGGATTACAGGCATGCACCACCATGCCCTGCCCCAATAAACATTTATTAAATGAATGTATGTAATTTGTGAATGTGTCGGTGGAATGTCTGTGTGTAGCTGTATCTCCTGCATGACATCTCTGAGAATATCTGTGTGTGAAACTGTGGGAACAATGTTGAGTTTGTGAGAGTCGGGTAGCTTCTGAGAATGCCTTGCCAATAATGTCTGCATATGTATTTGTGCAGGAACGCATGTGTACTTGTTTGCAACTTATGTGAATGCTGTGGGTGTCTGGTTATGTATACCTGTATCTATTTCAGTGACAGTAGAGATCTGAGATACTTGGACATGTTCTTCCTGATCAAATGGACCTGCCATTGCTCCACTCTCTCATACCTGGGAAATAGAAAGCATCTTTGTATCTTTGGGTGACTGCAAGCATGGGGTTACATTCCAAAAATGACATTTCATATTGATGCCGGGTGGGTGCTCAGATGAGGACTTCAGGGGTTGGGTAGGAACCTGGGGCCGATGAGACCCAAGCAGCCTTGTGCTGATCCAGGACATATCAGTGGGATACATGTGTTCTTTGAAGAATGGATGATATTCTTGGAGCAATCAACCACAGAAGAACTACTCCGCAGCAGCGGGTTGAAGCTGGTGACTTCAACACATCACTGTTCTTTCTCCAAGTCTCAGTAGGCTCATGTGCAAGTGGGGTTTGCTGCTCTTGGCCCACTTACTTCTTGGAGATTAGATGACTTTAAAGGAGGTGATGACAGTGAATGTATGACCATCATAATGGACATGTTATGTCCATGCAGCATGTCAGGGTTTTAATCTGCTATAACCTTAGAGTAAACGCCTTGATGGGTAATCCAGCTCTGGACTTGGTGCCAGAGGGCCACAATAGGTGTCTGTCAAGTAAATATGTGTGCAAGTGAATCAATGAATGTACAAACAAGTACCTGGGTAACTGAGTGAAGAGATGATTGCATAAGGCAGCAAATGGACCGGGAAATTACAAAGACTAACATTTTTGTGCACATGGTACATGAGGGCCCGTTGCAAAGGCCTCCCTTAATCCTTGCAACAAATCCGAGAGATTGCTACTATTGTTAATTCCATTTTGCAGATGGAGAAACTGAGTGTGAGGAAGTTAATTGACTTGCTAGCACCACAAATCTTCTAAGTGGTGGAGAGTTAAGATTCCAGCCCATGCAGTCTGACTAGCGCTCAGAGCATTAAATCTCACTCTGGTTCTGCTAAGTGAATCGCTGAATGAGTGGGTGGATGAAGGAATAAATGCAGAGTTTTCTGTGAACAAAACAAAACACTTTTTCTTTTTGCCTTTTTTTTTTTTTTTTTGGTACCAGAGATTGAATGGGGACCTTGCGCTCATGAGGCAAGTGGGGGCACCACTGAGCTAAATCCTGGACCCTTTTCTTTCCTTTTTTTAATGGCGGTGTTAGGGATTGAAGCAAGACCTCAAGCATGCTAGACAAATGCTCTATTACTGAACCCAGCCTAAGACAAACCAAGCCACTTTCTTTCTTTTTTTTTTTGAGAGGTGGAGGGAAACCAAGCTTTATTACTGGTGGATGGCCCAGAGGTGTTATGTACTCCAAACTCTGAGCCCTGACTGTGAGCTATATACAGTTCTTTTTAGTGCTGTATGCGGAGGCAAGGCTACAAAAGCAGAACAAAGATGGACAGTGTTACACCCTGAGTTTGCAACTCAGCACATCTGGTGGTGATAAGCTGCTTTTTGGTGGGCGTCCAAACTCTACACTGAGGGCAGAGTCTCTCCTAAGGTAGAGTTCAATGACCCTGCCTTATGTCCCCACTCCTTCTTCCCTGACTGCAGGCGCATGCCACCATGCAGCACTATGGGGTGAACGGCTACTCCCTGCACGCCATGAACTCGCTCAGTGCCATGTACAACCTGCACCAGCAGGCAGCCCAGCAGGCCCAGCATGCCCCCGACTACCGTCCATCGGTGCACGCGCTTACACTGGCTGAGCGCCTGGCTGGTAAGAGCCCTGGGGATGGGACCTTGAAGACAGGAATCTCCTGGGGACTAGAAGAAGTGGCTCCAGAAGGGGAGGGAGCACTGGGTAAGCTCACTCTGAGCGGCACAGAGAGACCTAAGTCACTTAGCACAGAAATGACAATTCAGAATCTGTATAGTGCTCGCTATGGCAGCACTTCTACAAAATCTGTGCATTATTTTCAGAGTGCCCCTTCTTTGCCATCGCTAAGCTGGGCCCTGAAGCTGCCCTATGCCTTCGACTTCTTAGGTCAAGCTGGTAAGGAACATGTCCAATAGGTCAATCTCACACAGGCCAGTTGCTGGAGAGTAGCTGGAAGAGAGCTGGAGTGTTCAGGAAAGGAAATTTCAGGCAGAGGGAGTCCTAAATAACAACAGCTTCGGTGCTGTGAATACCACTGTGCCTGGTACCGTTTGAGGCTCTCTTTCTTTATGCATCAAACTGTTTGATGCTCATGAAAAGAAACTATCTCCATTTTATAGACGAGGAAACTGAGGCTCAAAGAGGTTAGATCTAGATGGAAGTGGGGTGGGAACATGGCATCGTGGCTGAAAACTGTGAGCTGTGGAGTCATACATTTATGATCAGCGCAGCGGCTGCCCTCTCATTTCACTTCTCTGAGCCTCAGATTCCCCTGGGACAGTGGCAGTGTCCATTCCGTAGCATGGCCAGGAGGCTATTTGAGAAACACATCCAAAATGTTCAGCAGAGCCTAGTGGTATTCAGAAGTCATCAGTGCCCAGCACCCAAGGTGAGTACCAAGTGCCCAGGAGGGAGCTGCGGTCCCAGGAGCCCCCCACTCCTGTTTCATCTGGATGTTGTCCTGACTGCGTCTTATTGAGAATGAGAAAGATTCAGTGACATATCGGGGAACTTGATTTCCTGGGAGGTGATGCCGCCCACTCCATCCTATCCTAGCCAAGTTTTGAGCAGCTGGTGAACCCATGTGGGTCCAACCCTGTGCCAGGTGGTCCTCAAGAACTTTGGGGGAATTTCTGGAGAAACCAGGTGCCTACTGCCCCGTGAGAGAGCATGGCAGAAAGAGTGTGGCCAGGGGCCAATGGTGGGGTGGCTCAGAGCAGCAGGATCAGCTAGCAGAAGCAGGGAGTGCTTTCTGCAGGCCACTGGACAGGAATCAGGCTTCAAAAAGGCACAGTGGGGAGGAAGGACCAGCAGGAGCTGAGGCATAGAAATGAGATGGGGTCAGAGGACCCTAACCTGAGTAGAGATGCCAGCCTAGCAGAGAGGATGAGGTGGCCAGTCCCATTCCTTTAGACCCTGCCAGTCCTCTCAGCAAGACCTGGTGGATAAAATGGAGCACTTGGCCATTTTCTCTAGATCAGTGGGACATGTCTGGTGTGGGTGTGGTAGGTACAATCCTGCCAGAGCTCTGGCTACTTCCCTGGTTTGGAGTGAATTCCCTGAGCTCAACCTGGGGTGACATCAGTTCCTGACAGTGTTCCAGGATCCAGAGACTGGTGCACAAAATCGGGGGTAGAGGCTCATGTCTGCTGGCATGGGCAGAGGAACTGATGTGTTCAGCCCACCCTACAACTCTCTAACTCTTAAGACAGGATGAAATCCAGTTGGACTCTTACATGGAGGCCTCACCTTCCAGCCCAAGGCAAACATTATCCTGGATGGTTTTTGTGTTACCAGAAATGAGGACAGGGCAGTAGAATCTTTTTTGTTTGTTTGAGACAGGGTCTTGCTGCATAGTTCAGGCTGTCTGTGAACTCACTATGTAGCTCAGATTGGCCTCAAACTCTCAGCGATCCTCCTGCCTCTGCCTCCCCAGTGCTGGAATTACAAGTGTGCTCCACCGTGCTTGGTAGGACCACAGAATTGTTGGTCCACCAGCTGTCTCCCCTCCAGGCTTACTGCATTGGAACCTGGTCTCTTTGTCCTTCTGTCCCTTGGAAGTCAGCCAGAGGTTAAGAGTGAGTGCAACAAGCCTTTTTTGAACTCTGAGGGCTCTGCCAGAGCCACTGTTCAGAAAACAAAAAAAGCAGGAACCTCAGGTCCTGCCATCAGAGATTCATAGGCCATCTGAGAGGATGAGATTTAATGCAGCGAACAGAGAATCAAGTGCTGATTAATTCTGTCTGCCTGCTCAGACCTCCCCTAAGGAGACCTTGAGATGAGTACCAGCCCTCAGCCTGACTTCTCACAGTCAGGTGTCAGTACTCTGAGCTAAGGAAGCTTTAGTATCCAGAATCTCAGGGCCATAAGGTAGTAGACCACTGTGGTGTGGAATCAGCATTATGTAATATCAGATTATTATACTCACAGTATCCTGAGACTTTAAGGATCTTAGGGCAATGCCCACCTTACCCCTCCCCCCAATTTCAGCCAGATAAGGAAGATGACCCTTGACTACAGGCCTGATAGCTGTTCTTGGAGCTGAGTTAGATATCTATAGTAATAATAGTAGGTAGTGGGGTGGAAAGATTTTGAAAACTCTGGCAGTGGAGAGGGGATGGGTAATTTCCAAGGGCAAAGAGCTGTCAGCTCTGGCAGCTGCCTGGCTGTTTGAAGTGGGTCAGAGCAGAATTAGTTTCAAAATCTATTTCCCATAATTAAATGGCCCCCCTCTTGTTGCCCTCCAACGGCTGTACATTTCAAGACATCATCTTGGAGGCCCGCTATGGCTCCCAGCACCGCAAACAGCGTCGCAGCCGCACAGCGTTCACAGCTCAGCAGCTCGAGGCCCTGGAAAAAACCTTTCAGAAGACTCACTACCCGGATGTGGTGATGCGGGAGAGGCTGGCCATGTGCACAAACCTGCCTGAGGCCCGGGTGCAGGTAGGGCCCAGCTCCCCAAGACCTTGCAGATAAGCACCAGCATGTCCATCTGGTCCCCACTGTCCAGGAGCAGCATTTCCAAAGGGGCAGCTGCGCCTTCTGTCAGTGCTTTCAGCCAAGGCAAGGTGATTTGGGAAGGACAGAGGGGTGTGATTCCTGGAGGTGTGGGAAATAATGTTACCATCATCCACATCCTATCCCAGAGCACTCTACTCCTCAACAACCTCTCTTCTTATTTCCTCCCTCCTCTGACCACTCCTTTCTTTGCCCCAAGGTGTGGTTCAAGAACCGCAGGGCCAAGTTCCGGAAGAAGCAGCGCAGCCTGCAGAAGGAGCAGCTTCAGAAGCAGAAGGAGACCGAGGGCTCCCATGAGGAGGGCACCATCGAGTCCTCAACCCCAGACACTCACCTGGAGACGACGGACCAGCCCCCCAGTCTGCCCAGTGGTGATCCCCCTGCTGAGCTTCACCTGAGCCTGTCGGAGCAATCGGCTAGTGAGTCAGCCCCCGAGGACCAGCCGGACCGTGAGGAGGACACCCGGGCTGGGGCTGAGGATTCCAAAGCTGAGAAGAGCCCTGGGGCTGACAGCAAGGGGCTGGGCTGCAAGAGGGGCAGCCCCAAAGCAGGTGAGGTTTGGGGACACTGCAGGTGCACTGGGGCCCCAGCTGGGTCCAGCCTGATGGGGCCCGAGTCTATGATTGGGTGTGAGCAGAGGATAGTCCACAACTGGCACTCAGGGGCAAGGCCAATCACAGAAGAATCAGCATGGTAGGCCCTTGCCAGGTGTATACCCTGTGGTTGCTGAATTGTGGGACAGTCTAGAGCAGGGGCGGTGCATCAGTGGCACGTGTGCCACAGCAGGCTGTAATCATTGAAAGCTCTGAAAGATTTGCCATCGCTGGTCTAGAGCGTCCTGGGGAGGGGCTGTGAGGCAGGGAGAAGCATTCTGGGAGCTTGGGGCAAAAATGATTTACCATTTGAAGTACTCCAGTATTTTAATAGCCAGTGTAAGATGTACCAGTGTATACTGGGAGAATATCATGTTAGTACTGGGTGAGTACCATATTGGAGAGTCCCATGTGCAGCAGAGACTTCTCCCAAATCCTTCCCTTCCCTTCTCTTCCCTTCCCCCTTCCCTTCCCTTTTCCCTCTGTTCCCCTCCCCCTCCCCTTCCACCTCCTCTCTCTCTCCTGCTGCCTTTTTCTTCAGTACTGGAGTTGAACCTAGAGCCTTCACACTGAGCTACATCCTCAGCCCTTTCTATATTTTTATTTTGAGACACGGTCTCACCAAGTTGCTAAGTTGCCCAGGCAGAGCTTGAATTTGCTATCCTCCTGCTTCAGCCTCCCAGAGTGTTGAGATTTCAAGCATGCATCACCACATCCAGCTACCCCACCCTTTTAGGCCTTGGTCCCATGTTCTTTCAGCTCAGGAGTCTGGTTCCTAGGCTCCCTTGTGGAAAGGGCACCTGTTGAGAGGGTGTAGAGGATGGGCCTTTTAGGGTTGGCACCTGCTACCTCATCTCTTTCTCACAGAGCTGCCCTGGGCAGGAGCCCCCAGCCCTAGCTGTGTTTATAAAGGAACAGAACTCTGGCATCTCTCAGACACAAACACCAAGCTAAGGCAGGGAGGTGGTAGGAACTGCGAGCTCAGGGCTGGAGGGAGAAGATGGGAGCTGTGAACAGCGGAGGGGAAGGGGAGGTGACAGCGTTTGAAAAGACAAAAGGGATCTCTAAGGACTCAGACGTGGGGGCCTGGGCAAGATCTTTGGAGCTTTCCCAGGTCTCTCTTCCTCCCAAGATTCTGAGTGACTCACTGGGATGGGAAGGCTGAGAAGGGATGGATATGCTTTCAGCCAAAGCCTGTCCTGTCAGCAGTGCTGTGGGGATGGGAGGCTGAGAGAACCCTCTGGCAGACCATTCCCTTTGTCCTGAATACCTGGTTCTTGGTTCTCTGCTTGCAGATTCCCCGGGCAGCCTGGCCATCGCTTCTGCTGCCCCGGGGGGCAGCCTCCTGGGCCCCTCCCACTCTTATTCTTCGTCCCCGCTGAGCCTCTTCCGTCTGCAGGAGCAGTTTCGTCAGCACATGGCGGCCACCAACAACCTGGTTCACTACTCATCCTTTGAAGTGGGGGGCCCGGCCCCCGCAGCGGCTGCTGTGCCCTATCTGGGTGTCAACGTGGCACCGCTCAGCTCCCTGCACTGCCAGTCTTACTACCAGTCCCTGTCTGCAGCCGCTGCTGCCCACCAGGGCGTGTGGGGCTCCCCGCTGCTGCCTGCGCCCCCTGCAGGCCTGGCGCCAGCCTCAGCTGCCCTGAACAGTAAAACCACCAGCATTGAGAACCTGCGGCTCCGGGCCAAGCAGCACGCAGCTTCCCTGGGACTTGATACGCTGCCCAACTGACTGGTCTTCAGCCCAGCCAAGGGGCTTGGGCGCCCCCTTCCCAGCCCCATGGTTTTCCCCAGAAGGCTCTTGGAGGTAATTTTAGGAGCCCGGGAATCCGGAGACTTGAGTCTTCTCCCTATCCTCTCCCTCAGAGCCACAGCCCCAGGTGAAACCTATATGCCCTCTGCATGGCCCTGCTTGGACCCCATGGAGGCAGAATGGGGAGGAGGTGAGGGGCAGGCTAGATCTCCTCCTCAGTGTCACCTCCTCCTGCCCTCCCCCCACCTCTGCCCCTAGTAAGTTGATGTGTGGAATGTGAGATATAAATAGAAATATATAAAGCTCTATTTTCAGGCCTGCCTGCCCCAGGCCCGGCCCCTGCTCCCATTGCTTCTTCCTGCCATTCCTGCTCTACCTGCAGCTTCTAAAGCTCACTCCGGCCTTCTCTTCTCTCTTGATCTTCCTCTCCCTACCTCCTTCCTGGTCATAGCCCCCCTCTGTCTTCTCCACCTTGATCTTTCTCTTAATGTCTCTTCCTCTTGCCCCTTTGGTGCCGGCTGTGTTGGTGTCATCAGTTCTCCAGCTGTATTTTGATTGAGGTTGTGGTTTTTTGGTTTTAGTAATTTTGCTTTTTCCGTTTCTCTCCTCTTCTCCATCCTGGCTTCTTCCCGGCCTGCCTGTCTTTTCCCTTCACCTGCATCCTCTTTAGGCAGCTATTCCATTCCGTGCCCCAACAGGAAACAAGGTCCTAGATAGAGACCCTGGAGCAGCAGGCAGGAGGTGGTCCTGGTCCTCATGCCCACGCTTCCCAGGCCTGACATCGGAAGGGAGCATGAGCCACTTTTTCTTCTCTCTTCTCAGCTTGGAGGCCCTATTTGCCCAGCTCAGAGAGGAAGGACTGGAGGCAATAGGCTGGAATGGGGAGTGCAACATCCAGCAGCCCCTGCCTGTACTTCCTCCAAGGCCACTGTTCACCCAGGTCTGACCAGAGCTCTAAAGCCCTTTGGTTGTAGAGAGATGACAGGTGAGAGGTACTCTCAGAGAGATAGGGCTGGTGCTCTTCTCTCAGTCCCAGCTTCTGAGTTCAGCAGTTTCTGTTCTTCCTTGAATTATGATGGAACCAGAAGTGAAAGTTGAACTCTGTTAAATCCAAAGCCATGGGAGTATCAGAGGAAGAGACACCTAGGCAGGGGGAACGGAGAGCAGCAAAGGCTATGGGAGACACAGAAGGCATTTTTGGTTAAGAACTAGTGGCCCATAGTCCATTGATTGTCCTTTGTGGACAGCTCCAGGAAGTCCTGATCACAGTGAGTGCAAACCACACAGCAATGCACACATTGAGGCTTCTGTTGGCTTCTTGTTCTAAAACCAGTGGTAGAAATAGGGGCTCTGTCAAGCTGGTCACTGGCACAGAAGGGGATGTTCTGTTATGGCCAGGCAACCCAGCTCAGCAGAGCCCCTTTCATAGAGGGGTGACCTTGGACAAGCCCAAAGCCTCTCTGGGGCTCTGTTTCCATCTGCATTAGATAGCCTGTAAGATCCTGTCCAGCTCCAGCATTCTGCATTCTGTACTTACAACCTCAAAGGATAGAAGTTTTTAGTTAAATTTAACTATAACAACATACTCTGAATATATGAATTGGAAAATTGCTGTTGACTTGCTTGGAGCAATGACTACTGTACACAGGAACCTATCTGTTGACACTGTTTCCCAGGAAGTGTAATGGTTCCTTTCTAGTTCAGACAATTCAGATTTTTCTTATTTTTCTTGAGTTCCAGTGCCAGCCTCTGGGGTCACTCTATTTCCATGCCTGTGGTCAAGGGGGAAGAGGATGGCTTGGACAGATTCCAGGTTACCATCCCCAACTCTGTGGCTCGCCCCTGGACTTCTACTCCCTGTTTAGAGAGGCTGAAAACCAGAGTCATGATTCCTAAGGTTGTCTTCCTCCTTGGGTACCCTGGTAGGACCGGCCTGCAGAGCAACCAATGGCCATCACCCTTCAGAGGCCAGTCTCAGCTGGAGCAGATGGAAATGCTCTGGGCCAGAAAAAGTGAGGAGTGTGAAGGCATGGGCCAGGAAAACCATTTGAACAAGACAGGGGAAGTGACACTAAGTGGGCTATGGGGCTGAGGGGCCTGGAATCCAGGCTAAGAGCCCACCTCCTTGTTTCTGAATTGGGTGTCTTGCTGGGATCTGCAGTTTGGAAGGTAAATCCAAAGCCATGGGAGCATCAGAGGAGGAGAGACCTAGGCATGGGGGAGGGAGGGTCGCAAAGACCACGGGAGACACAGAAGGCAGTTTTGGTTAAGAACTAGTGGCCCATGGTCCATTGATTGTCTTTGTGGACAGCTCCAGGGAGTTCTGTTTGCAAAACAGAAAAATCTCATCTGGATCAGGCATGGAGCTGGGTGCAAATGACTGTTAGTAGGCCTTGGAATCCAATGGCCCTGAATATCATCACCTCCTGATCTCCTCAGGGGCAAGAGCACCTGTTTTTATGTCCTATCATGGCAGGAGCCAGGCCCCTTAGACTCATCCCATCGCCCTCAGATCGTTGTCAACACTTCTGTTAGTAGTTGACCCAAACCCATAAGCTCAGAGGAGGAGGCGAAGGTACCTGTGGTTCTGGCTTTTGAGGGAGTCTCAAGGGAGTTTAGAGCACCAGCCCCAGATACTGAAAACAGATGGAGAGAAGAGGAGGGTGTCCTTGCCATGAGTCAGAGGACACAAGCTCAAGTGGGCCCTCACCCACTGGCCACGGACCCTGGAGCCTCCCTGAGCCACCCTGAGGGCCAAGAGCCTGAGCTCAAGTCCCAACTATCCCTTCCAGGAAGCCTCATGCCACTCTGCTCCCTTCTGTTTGAGGTCTTCCCTTCCCTGCTTCCTTACTCTCCCAGAGTGTGGTCTGGGGGCCTGGGTCCCCACCTCGACTCTTAAGGCTGGTGTTCTGTACAGACTGCTTTCCAAACCAGCTGTTTTGTGACCATTCGTGTTTAGAGGATGTGCCAGCCTGTGGCAAAACACTGTGTACTGTATTTATTTATTCTGTTAGTTGAAGAAACAAAACTCAGACCGTCCCCTTCCCCTTGTTCTGCCCCTTGCGTAGTGCAGCATGATACTCTGTTCCGTGTATCTGTCTGTCTTACTTCCTGTGACGTTGTGACCTGTTCTTTGTCCTACTTGGCTAATAAAAGAGAACCTGGTAGCCCAGCCCTTGACCCATGTTCATTCCCAGGGATGTTGGCAGTGGGCTGAGCAGGTGGCATCTTCAGCAGTTCAGTGTCTCTCCACTCCTACCACAATGGCCAGTGGGGAGCAAGTCAGGCCTCCCTCCTGCCCATTGGCCACTCCTGATTGACCTTTACCAGTCACTCTGCAGCTGATGTGCACACAGGGGAGCAGAGGGTGGTGGAGAGCTCCATCTTCTCTGGGCTGTTTGGGCCTCATGTGAGCCCAGGTAGCGGGGAAAGCTGGGGCAGGAGATATCAGGCATAGGACTCCCAAGAATAATCAAGGTAGCCTGAAGGGATAGGGCTGCAGGGTGGAGAAAGTGGGGCCTGTAGAAAGCCACAAGCAAGCCAAGGCAAAAAGGAAATGATGGAGACACATCTGGGCCTAAAGCCAGAACTGCTCCTAGTGGAACAAGTGGCCTTCAGAGGGAATGAGCTTGTGGTCCTCAGAGGTGAGCAAGTGGGAGACTGACTGCAACAGCGAGGCGTATGTGTGTGTGGCTGAAAGTCTGTGTTTGAGCATGAGCTCCTAAGATTACCTGCAGGCGTTAGCATGTGCCTGTATACTCACAGGAGCCGGAGAGAGACACCATGGCACAGTAGATAGACGATAGCGCCAAAAAGTACACAACTCAGAAGTTCTTTCTGTAAAATCTTGGTTGCTTCTGCTGCAGAGGGCCAGAGATCTCCACCATCCTGGCTCTACCTCCCTTCCCTGAGTTCCAGAGCCAGAGGGTGGTGTACACATGGGGCTGGGCCTTGGGGGTTTGAGAGCCCTCTGCCCGAGGTCTGCAGGAAGCTGTCTGCTGGGCTTCCTAGGGGAGGGGGCTGACCTCCCCACTTCCCAAGTCACTTCTACCCTGGGAGATACATTCCTCTCTCCCCAGTGGGGCTGAGGATTAGGGCAGGGAGCACCCCCTTCACCTTGCCTCCCTGGCTCCCTGGGAGAGGCTGACATATCAAATGTCTGCCCTGCAAACCTGTGCCGCCTGCATACCTCACCTCAGGGACACACGGTCCCTGGCATGGAGGGTGTGCTGGTGACACTGCAGTGCAGATCACTCTTTCACTCAGCGTTGGCTGGGCAACTGCTCTATGTGTATGCCTGGTCCTGGGCTGGGCGCTGAGAAGCAAAGAAAGAAATAGGAAAGACACGTCCTTGGCCATCCCAACACAAGGTGATTTGGAGTATTCAAAAATAGGAAACTGCCAGGTGTGGCGGAACATGTTTGTAATCGCAACACTCAGGTGGCTGAGGCAGGAGGATCACTGAGTTTGAGTCCAGCCTGGGCTACATAGTGAGTTCAAAGTCAGCCTGAACTACCTAGCAAGACTCTGTCTCTAAAAACCAAACCAAACCAAACCAACAAAAAAATAGGGAACTGTGTGAGCTCAAAAGAGGATTCCTAGCTCAGCTGGGGAGGTCAGGAAGGCCCCTTGGGTCCAGTGTTCACAAGGTGGGCAAGGGTGTTCAAGAGAAGCTCAGTACATCCAGTTGTGGGAATGATGCCTTGAGCCCCAAAAGAGCAAGAGGCCTGCCTGGGGGTGTTTGAGACCAATGGGGTGTTGCCAGTGAATGAAGGTGGACAGGGAAGCTGGGAGTTTAGACTAAGCCAGGCCAGGACCTTGGGGGCATTGCAAGCTGTTGCCAGTGGGGCAGTGGGGCAGTGGGGCGATCCGACTTGTATTTTAGTAACCATGCCCCTCCTTCTGTTGCCTGGTGATTCAATTGAAGGAAGAGCAAGAGCCAAAGAGACCAGAGAAGAGGCCATTGTCAGGTTCCTGGCATCGTCTGGACTAGGAGAGTGGGGGAGGGAGAGAGCTCAAATTGATGTGAGATTCAGGAAGTAAAGTCACCATGGTGACTGCAGGATAGGAGGGGTCAAGTATACTCTCAAATCTCTGGCTATCAACCACAGGGTAGATGAGGACCCCTGTGCAGTTGGGGCTGGGATGGGGGTTGGAGGATGCTCCTGAGGTCAGGGTTCTTGTGTGCTGTATCTGAGGAGCCTTCGATTTATTCAAGGGAAGATGTTGGGTCCGTCTTTGCTGCTACTTTATTTAACAAATGCGTAGTGCTTCCTCTGTGCCTGGTGCCTTATCAATGAGTCACTTAACCCTCATGAAGCTCTGAGCTAGTTACTATTATTATCCCCATTGGACAGTTCAGGAAAGTGAGGCACAGAGTAGTTAAATCACTCGCCCTGAACCTCAAACTAGTAATGGGCCCACCAATGTGTGGACCCAACTAGTCTTGGAATCTGGGCTGTAATTCCTGGTGGTTGCCAATAGGGAGATGGTGACCAAAGCCACATTGCTAAATGAGACCCCACAGAGAGCAGCTTGAGGTTGGACCCCCGTGAAATGCTGGCTGTGATACAAGAGAACCCATGATGGAGTTGCTGCTTACTGTGGGCCCCTCTGTGGTCCTGTTTCCTCTTCTGTTGAATGGGAACCATCAACTATGTCCAGCATGCTTCCTGGGAGGCTTAGATGGAATAAGAGGAGAAGGCATCGGGGAAGGTAATGGCCCAGTAGGCAACAGGTGCCCAGGCAGTCCATGGGGAGTAAAATGGGAAGGGCTGCAGGGCTCACCAGAACTTCTCCCCTTACCTCCCCGTCTTTGGGCCTTGGCCCCATGTTCTTTCACTCTATTTTGGGGAGGTCTGGTTTCTTAGGGGCCCCTGAGGAAGAGACACCTTCTGAAAGGCTGGGAGGATGGACCCCTTCAGGGCTGGGCACCTGCCTCCGCATCTCTTTCCCACAGAGCCGCCCTGGGCTGAAGCCCTCACCCCTAATCTCTCATTCTCCTTTTGCTTCTGGGAAAGCCGATTAGGAGGCGGCCTTCGGGCCCGCCCCCCTGACAAGTTTGTCTGAACTCCCAACAAAGGCCCTCAGAGCCTGCAGAGGGAGGGATCAGGCACGGGAACCTGACACCACTGGCCGGGGATCACCCCAGCAGCCTGGAGGCGGCTCTGTAGCTCTGCCCACCCCAGGGCAGGCAGGAATGTGCCTCCCAAGGGACCTGGACCCACAAAGGCCTAAGGGCAGGCAGGGCAGGCAGGCTGGTGGATTCCACCTGAGAGCCCCTCACAACAGGGAAGATAACAGAGGCCTGTGCCTGGGATAAGCATGTGTTCTCTCACACACTGACACTCACACACACACTCTCCCAATCGCAGACCCCCCCCCATGCACACATTTTCTTTCAGACAGACAAGGTATGCTCACTTCTGCCCTCGACCACAAATCCCAGAGTGTCTGTCTCCCTGTCTCTGACACCCATAGACGTGTACACCCCTTACAAACCAGCAGACACACAGCCCCCCATCTGCCTCTTGGCTCTCACCACACACCTGCCCCACCCTCCACAGGATTCTTCCTGTTTTACTCACACACTCATCGCACACTGAATGCTCAGAGCCTCTGAGTGTGGCTCCAACTCTCCTTTCCAGTCAGGCCTCTTGCAAGACAGGCCAACTTGGGCCCCATAGGATAACCCGTCTCACTATGTAGTTCAGGCTGGTCTTGAACTCACTGTGTAGTCCAAGCTGGCCTCAAACTCACAGCGATCCTTCTGCCTCTGCTTCCCTAATGCTGGGTTTGCAGAGGTGCACTACCTCACCTGACTGAGATCCTTAGTTTTTTTTTTTTTTTTGGTACAGGGGATCGAACCTGGGTCCTTGTGCTTGTGAGTCAGGCGCTGGAACCGCTGAGCTAAATCCCCGGCCCATGAGATCCTTAGTTTTTAAACAAGCATTTCTGAATTTTCATTTGGCATTGGACCCACAAATTATGAAGCTGATCTCACTCCCTCATCACAGTATCTTTCAGCCAATCCACCACTGAGAGCCCTCAGCTCCTCACCCTGTCCAAGGCCTCCATTTCCCCTTTCAGGGGGGCTTCCCTCTCTTCCCCTACCCTTCACCAGACAGCTGAATGTGGTGGGGGAAGGAATGGCTAAGAGCACATTGTAAGTCTACACACATCCTTCCAGGGTCACCCCAGGCTCAGAGCCTGCATCTGTAAAGTGGGACTAGTTATGGTGCCCGGATTAGGGTTCTTTGTGAGCACTAAATGAGATAACATCTTTAAAACACTAAGTTCAAGTTTGGCATTTAGTAAGTGTGCAACAAACATTTATTATTATTGCATTCTTGTGACAACAAACAAAAATAGACTCCTCCCTGTAATCTAGTAGGTAAAACAGCTTACTCAAATAATCACCTGTATTTAAACATAAAGTTGCAGGGACCTCTGACCTCCTCGTAGGGTCTACAGTGGAAGGGAAAGTCAGTCTGAGGCTCGGATCAGAGATCAGTCTAGGGCCAAGCTCAGCTCTATTAGAGGGCAAATGGGGGTTCAGATGGAGCCAGGGCAAGATGCAGTCCGAGGCACTGCTGGCATAGACTTACCGTGGACCAGGGTTCTCGGATCCTCCATTTCATCATCTGTAAAATGGGGAGAACTCTGTTTACCCCCAGGCTTGTGGGAATTGAGCGAGCTAACAGTGGAGGTGAAGGATTAAGCTGCCAGTAATGACTCTTATGCCGGCACCCACCCCCAGGTCTCTGCTCCCTTCCAGTCCTGGAAGGCTGTGCAGCCTTCACCCAGGTCTCCAGCTGCGGGAGCTGCCACCTCAACTGGGATCTTTTCCAAGAGGAGTCTGGAGATCTCACAAAGCCCTTTGAACAACAAAGGCCATGGGTGTGGTATTTCCTCCCAGGGGCTGACCGCCCAGTGGCTCCTTTATCTTGGCAACTGGGCTAGGGCTCGAAGAGCTGTTCTTGGAAAGATCTTGTGTGGGGTGTGTGCGGGTGCGTGTGAGTATGAGCGTGTGCACACAAAGCTGTTCTTTGTTGCTGTCCCCACCTGAGCAGGCTGACAGACCTGTAAGCCTGGATCCTTCACAAGTCACCTTATCCATCCAGGGCCTCCACACAGCATGTGCTGGGCAGCCATTCGGGAGGGGAT